TTTATCTTAAATATTAATTAGTATGACAAACTACTTCAATTGAAATATTTTAGACTGAATATATAGGATTCATTAGTACAATATTGTTAATGTACTTGAAAGTAGTCTAATTAGATGCATTCATCAAACTTGCCGCTATTCTATTTCTTAATGCTTCTATCTCATGTGATCCTTCAATTTGATAATTTGGTATTCTTCATCATTATCATCACTACTATCGCTCTCTTCACAAAAGTTCCTTGGGTCATCAAAATGACGATCACGTTCAGAATACCTCCTTATGTAGTTATGAAGAGCTATTGTAGCAATGACAATCTTCACTTGCTTATTGAATGGGTAATGAGGCATATCCCTTAAAATTGCCCATCTTTTCTTCCATACCCCAAAAGTTCGTTCAATGATGCTCCGAAGAGAAGAATGCATGTGGTTTAATACCTCTTTATAACCCGTTGGTTTGGCACCCCTACGAAAATTCGGGAGATGATATCTTTCACCCTTTATATGATCTACCAAGTAATATTTTCCTGAAAATTGAAAATTTTGTTTTGTATTGTAATAATTATACAAAGAAAGTATGTAAAATGTTATAATAAGTATGAAGATTACCATTTATGGCACCAATACAATCCTAAAAATAATGAGGATTTACGGTTGTTAACTATTGCGTATGTGCAGAGTTTGCAATTAGTTGCTTCTGCATACAAGTCATAATGGACGTTTAGTAATCATCAGAAAACAACTGAAAATGTTAAGGAAAAGCTAGAATCAACTGCCAAATGTTCTACACCCTTAAATTGTGAAATGCAACCAGAGTTCAGAGTGATGAAAACTGTAAACAAAAGTGCTTTTTCTCTGTTTTGGCGGAAATGCAACAAAAGGCTATGGTTTAACGAGCTATGACCAGGCGCTTCTTTGATTGACAGAACTACGTGGAACAAACTGTGATCTCCCACCGGCTTGTGATGAATCGTTAGCAGAAAAAGGTGTGTAACGTTTTCAATATTCCTGTTGGCCTCTGCCGCGACTACCCTGCTGTTGGCCTCTGCCGCAGCCATGACTATGATTTAATTGTGAACAAGAATGGTTTGTGTTATGTCCGAAACTATTTCTAGATGGCCAAAAAGCGTTGTTCGCTGGTTGTCCTCTGCATTTGGCCTTCAAGCTTGGCTTGGCTCCAATATCTTCAAATCCTTAAAGCCTTGTGCTCGATCTCCGGAAAGATAACCAACTGCCCTCCCTCCGCTTATCATTAGAGACTGATCTCCCATGAAAAGAGACTCTTTTGTAGTCTGTGGAACCCATGGCTGAATCTGAGCTAGATGACCTTACTCTTTCGCCAGGTATTCCTCGAGGAGCATAAAACCGTTCTCCAGAATTAGGATTAGCAACTTCTTTCCCTCTACCACAACCCCATCCAGAACCTGCAAATTTGTGTATTAAATCCGTAGAGCTAGAAGTGCATCTAGCATTGTTCTGGAAGCCTCCATTTCCCATGTTATCTTGTCTCCGAAACCTCTCCTGGAGCCGGGTGCTGCATTGCATTTAGTTCTCTACCGAATAAGTTAAACAGAATAGGCAGTACACATAAATAAGAGAAACAAACGGAGAAGACCGGAAGCAATAAACCAATTGACCTGGAAGTGGTGGTAGGTGCGCTTTTCTGATATTCATGCCATAATTTTGCCTCCATAAGATCATCCTCGGTGATTGTGCAAAAGAATATGAACAGAAAAATTGTCATTTCATTGAAACGACTACCGAAACTATCTAAGCTTGTCGCACGTTAATTAAGTTGCATAATATATAACATAACATATTGATGAAGAAAAGTGATGCCACTTAAGTTTTGAACTAAAAGATGCATCTGGAAACGTATAAATAAAAGTTCCAAAAAAAACCATAGGATCAGAGGTGGAAAAACAGTTCGATTTAATACCTTACTGGAATGCTCTACGCCATCTAGTAAACGAGGCATATGTGGATCACTATCGGGAAGCTTGTATAGCACGCAACTGCAACAGGATTAAATTAAAGAGACGATAATATATGACAGTAACGTATTGAGCAGAACGAAAGATACAAGTCATTTGCGTTTTTGACTTGCATGACATGGTCTTCTTGAAGCTTGTAATCTCCTCCTTCACCTATGGCAGCATCATGACGACGTATGGTGCCACTAGCTCCAAAACTGGAAAAGCGTAAAACATGAAAAGTTAACATTTGGAAGGATGAAAACAATCTGTTCGGGCAGGAAATCTGGCTGGTGGGCGTTCTTGGCTCGAGCACACAGTTCCCCGAGGAGTTGGCATTTTGGTTGATTGTCGGGCTCCTGCTTGCCACACCATTGCAAGAGGAGAATAAAGTTAGTTTTGAAAGGTGCCTTTATGTGGCCTTAGGTGTAGGCTTTGAGGCTCGCAATCAAAACCAACTAAATGCTTAAGCGTGGCATTGCCATCTCTATATGGCGGATGTAGAACAAGTGTGTTTTAAGCCAATTACTTGCGTCCCAAGTTATTTCTGACTTCTTGTTTATCGAAGGATTGTTGTAAATGAGTTAAGTCTACATTAAGTTCTTTTCTATGCCTTAAGATCAAGGACTTTTAGTTATCTTGTATGCTCGAGGGGTGAAGGTCCAGATCTGATCAAGTCATCGGTTTAATTCATCTCAATCTTGATAAAACCACTAAGTGAACCAAATCTAGGAACTGATGGGGCTTTGAATCATAAAAAGACTAGAAACAACTTGAATATAAACTAGGGAATACATTATAGCTCTAGATCTATTAATTGAAAGACAAAACAAAGAGAGTCGGGCAAGATTTCACCTTGTCGGGCAAGGTTAAACGTCTTGTGGTCGTTTGTTTGATTGGTTGAGTGTCCTTATCTCTGGGCCCTTTTCCCCCTTTTATAGATGAGTTGACTTTATTTGTGATGTTCCTGTTCTTGCCCAAAAGTAATTTGGAGGGTAGGGAACCATTGGTATTTACATGCTATGCCATCCATAAAGTTCTTTTGGGCCTAGAGTTGGTAAATTCTCATCGATTGTCACTTCTTGTAAGCAACTAGCCTTTGCGTTAATAGGGGGTGCCAACTGGCTTTTGGGACGGATGATCTGGGCTCAAGTGCTGGGCTTCGGGCGAAATCTCCTTCTTGAGCTCCTCTTTGGGCTTCTCTTCTTGAAAGCCCAAAGTTCAAATATTAACCCAAACATAATCCAGGAATAAAACATGGGAATAATTGTACTACCTCAAACCAGTGTCAACCTTGATAGACCAACTTTCCTTGCTAGGTAGTGACATAATTTATGGCACCAAATTGTGTGTCCTTCGCACAAATCTAAAAATGAAACAGAAGCTTGTAGTTAACTTCTAGGAAATCCCTTGGATATAACATTATTGATATTACATAATAGGACTTACTAGTAGGATAAAAGTCAATAATGCTAGAACTTTCTTCAACCATTAATTTCTGATAATCTTTAGGAAGCGCATGAGCGCTACAAAAAGGAGAACATTTGTCTTATCTTTTATAGAACTTAGGAAGACCAAACTTGCAAACCAAGGGAACAATAAGGAAAATAGTAGAATTACCTTCTCGAAGGTAACACAGCCATGAGAGTATCAATAGGCTTAAAAGGGAAACCTTTTTCTAAACTTCGCTTTCACCTGACCGAGGCCCTTGAGGTCTGAAGCAAATGGCCCGTAATGGAAAGGATAAAACCTGGAAGGATGTTCCAGAGAAATAATTTAGTATCATTAGTTTTCATATCAGTATCTAGTAGCTATGCAAAGTTCATATTATGTAAATGTCTTACCATGTCCATGATGGGGGCTTCGAAAAATAGTACAATAAAACCCAGAGCAGTCCTTCAGTGTAGCATTATTACTTTAGTCTAAAGAAGGCTTTTCAATTGCACTGTACAAATGAACATTGTTTTGAACCACATTTCAACTTATTTACAAGATTGCCACCACCTCTTCAGTTTCAGATTGAAAATTTTGATTTATTTACGAAATTGCCACCCTTCAGAGTGCACGTGTCGATCATCTTAGGGCTGGTTTGGTATTGTTGTGCTTTGAAAAAAAACTGCTATGAGAATAAGCGATTGTGCTGTGAGAATAAGCGGCTGTGAAATAAATCAGCAGAGTGTTTGGTAAATTTTTTGTAAAAGTGCTTTTGGAAAAAAAAAAAAAAAAAAAAACAGTCTGATAGTGAGCCTTTTCATTAAAGGAGCACTGTAGCTTTGTGTGCTTTGAAAAAAAACCAGTTTTCCAAAGCTGCAAATAGCAGCTTCAGCTTTTCCTTTGATTTCAGCTTATTCTCACAGCAGCTTCCAAAATAAGCCCTTTTTTTTAGTTTACCAAACACCTAAAACCCCCACAGCTTTTTTTCATGGGTGCTTTTTTTTTTAAGAACCTCACTCCCAAACCACCCCTTAGAAAGGGTGGGGGGATGGTGGCAAACCCGATTTTGTTCCAGATATCTCTTCGATGACAAACCCAGTTTGCTCCAGAGCTCTTCAACGACAAAGTCGATTCGGCGCCTCACCGTTGCAAGCCTCACCTTCCCCTCGCCATCGCACACATCACCTTACCTCGCCGCCGCACTCCTTACCAGAACTCCAATCAATGGTAACGTGCCAACTGTATATATTTTTTGTCGATTTTTATCATTATTCTGGAAATTAGGGTTTGATCTAAATTTGGTGTGGCTATGCTGCAGCCAAAACTCACAGATTAGGCTGAGAGAGATATATATAGGAGGATTTGTGGACGAGTTTCAGGGAGAGAGGCGTGGGATGGCAGGAGGGGAAGGGAGAAGGAGGAGTGAGGCTGCTAAAAAGGGGGTTAGGGTTGATTTTTTCTCCTCATATCAATTGTTGGTGTTGGTGATTGAACGAGCATTGGTTAAAAGGGAACTTTCATTTCCTTTGTTTCTGAACCGGAATGGGGTCGATGGGACTATGCTTTGTTGCACGTTCAGACGAGTGATTTCAGGGATCTGGGGGTTGGGAGAGTGATTTCAGGGATTGGTAATTTCTCTTTCACTCTCTTTCAGACTCTTCCTTTCTCCTAACTCTCCATCTCTCTCAACTTTAGTGCTACCCCTAATTTGTTCTTTCATTCCTCAATTTTCTCCATCCGGGCAATGAAAAATCGAACTGGGTTTTCAGATTATTGATGCTTCACGGACAGAGAATGGAGAGAGTTGATTGAGGGATTGGTGAGTATGGGCTTGCACAGAGGGAACTGCTCTTCCTTTCTCTCCGCTCCCTATATCTCTCGATGTGAAGCCCACAAACCAAGTAGTGACGGTTGAAAGCCTCAAACATGCCGGGCGCGAAATGGTGGTACAGTGACGGTCGACAACCGCCTCCGTTGTCTATGAATTTGGCCGTCAGAAAGCGTCTTACGGTATGATGAATTTCTCTAATTTCCCTTTATTTGGGTTTCCTCTATCCTTTTTGCGTTTGATTGGGAGTTTATAAATTAGGGTTCTTGGGATGTGAGAGTCGATCTTCCTAATGCTAGCGGCGATGGCCGAAAACAACATCGGCAAAATTCTGCAGAAGAAGGGTACCGTCATTCTTCCTCCTCTCTCTTTCAAGCTCAAGGTAGGTACTTCCTCATTTTTTTTGTTTGCCCATTTTGTCCTTTTTGATTTTGTGATTGCGTTCGAATGGGGTTGAGTTGATGGTCTCAAATGACTCCTTATCATCTTAGGCATCTTCTAGAACTTTTGCATGTGAAAATCTGCTTCAGATGGAGTTCTTCGTTTAAATCGGGTTTTATTAAGTTTTTCATGTTTTTGTAGAATTTTTCGTTTCAATTTTCTTTTCTTTGGAGTATTGTTCATTTAAATTTTCTTTTGATGTGATTCCATTTTATCTGAATCATCATTTAATTTATGACATTTTTAATGTAATTTTATATGAATTTTAGTAATTTTTCTAAGTTTTGTATAAATCGTTGATTAATTTCTGGGTGGTTATTAATTTTATGTTTTTTATTGAATTTGTTTTCAGAAAACTACAAGTAAAATATCTTTAATTAGTCGTCAGTTTTCATGTTTTGAACATCGTTTATACAAGCTATTATGTCTCAATGTTCGAATTTTTTAACTTTGTATTTATTTTGTAGGGATTTTTGCATAGAGAAGAGAATTGTTTTGTTTTCCTCTCACTAAAACTGGCAAGTAATAGAGAGCAGTCATACTCTCATGCAGCTATGCTTAGCTATATTACGATATCAGTACATTAACAAATCTCAGTGGCTCAGATTTCTAAAATTGGCATTTGTATGAATGAATTTCCATTTTCTCTTCCAAAACAATTTGTTAATTGAAAATTGTTTTCTTTCTGCACTAGGTGGTACTGAAATTGGATTTACATAAGGACAAAGAAAAGCAAGAGGCCTTGAAAGCAGTCTCCAGCCTTACAGGTATCAACTATTTTTTTAAGCATGTCGGTTTAATTTGGCTCCGTGAAAAACTTGGAAAATAATAAAAATGTAAAAAAAATTCTGAATTATTTCATCCATCACCACCTACTCAGTTCTTTGTATTGGTTGAGAAGTTCTCTTAGAAGAGAAAGGATTGGAGCTTGGCTTTTAACTTTTTAGCCATGGTTTCAGGCACATTCATCAGAATCGGACTCAATGGGAATGGAAATTTGTCGAGTTTTATGTTTTTATAGAAGAAGAAGAAGCTCAGAAGTCTGATACGTTAAGCAACTCCATCTGAAAGCAGAAGAATCCAAAGGTAAACCCCTTCGACCTCTTCAATTATGGTGTTCTTTAGTCGATTGCAAGACTAGAACTTGAAAAACTAACACATGCATATAATTTTTTGTGAAGGAACTGCGATCCAGTGGCTGGATGGAAGAAAAGGACAATGCAAGCTCTCTCTCTCACAGTAGCTCCGTGTTCCTCTCCCCCCCAAACCTAATGGCTTCGGCCCAATTTGGAGCCTGCTTGGATCGAGACCCCTTGGAGATTCGGAGCTCCAGGTGAGAAAATTTTCCCCAAATTGTATTCAATTTATGTTGCTTCATTTCATTTTCCATTTTTAATTTGGAATTAGTTGATATTTTAGGTGGGTATCACATGTATAACCAGAACAATTTTTGTGTTGGATTGGGGTCAAATTGTCCAACTTTATTAGCTATTTGGTCACCTATGTATTTGTAATCGAAATAATGAATTAGAGTTTTTCTGTTAGTGTCCGTTTAGTAAAGAAAGGATGCTTCTTTTTGTTATCATGCATATTTAAGCTGTAAAAATCTGAAAAGTTGCTTAATTGAAGTGAGATTTCCAGTTTTTTAGCTCAATTTCAGGCTTGAGCTTTGAATTTGTTTATATGTAGCCAAGCTGAAGCTATCTATGTCGTAGTTTGAAGTATTTGTATTGGTAACTATGTGTTTTCGTTGCGCAATCTGAGTTGCCTCAATATCTTTTATATGCAATTTGGTGTGGACAAGTGGTTTTTGATGTTTTGGTGGGTACTGGAAAAAAAAATGAAATTGATTTGCACTCAATGCATACTTAATCTTAAAATACGTTCTATTAAATTGGTTTGATGATATATAGGTGGTAACAAATTAACGATGTCAACTCCTACAAGGAAGAGGCTGATGAGAGACTTCAAGAGCTTGCAACAAGACCCGCCTGTAAGATTAGCAGGGCGCCTCAAGATGACAATGTAATGCTGTCGACAAGGTTAGTTATTTTTTAGGCTCTTCTTCTGCAAACGTGAACTCTTTACATGGATACCGAATTTTATGTGATTTTTAATAGTTATACATCAAACTCCTTTGCACTAAACTCTGTATTACAACAATTATAATTAGAACTTGGATGAAATGGGCTCCATCCAGGAAAGCTACTGCCCTATTAAAAATTTAAAAAACTCAAGAAATTTGATAATTTCTTAGTTTAGACCATTTATACAAGTCAGAATAAGAAACACAGATGTTTTCTATATCTTACGCTATATGTTTGGCTGTAAATCGTATGGGGTAAATCTCTTGGTGTCATTCTAAATAAACTGGAAATGTGTTTCATGCAAAATTTACGTTGTTGTTTATTAATGGAAATAAGTTTTAAAGTGATTACCTTTCTTCATACAAGTTATCTTCACAAAGAAACCTGTATTATGGTTTCGCTTTTACTTGCTTTCGCACTGGGGAGGCTTCTGGGCATGTAATTGGTATGTCATTACTCACTAATCTTTTATTTTTTTTATTTTTTTTATCCTTATCTTCTATGTAATATCACCATTCTCACCCGAAGGTTGCCTCTCCAAGTCGGTATGTGATGATCTCCAATCCTTTCTGTGCGATTTCTCCAATCTGAATCTTGGATGGTTCCTCAAGGAGGGCAGATTTGTGGGTTTTTGGTTTTTAGGGTTTTATGTCTTGGAAATTTTCTTTATTTTTTGGGTATAAATATCAGGATTTTGGGGGTTTTACAATGGTGGGTTTATGGAAATTCAAATTCTTGCATTCGCAAATCCATGTAAAACCCTTCAATTTTGTTTTGTTTTAGCTTTTGAGGTATGATTTTATAGAAATCAACAGTTGGAATTAACTTTAGTAATCTTGATTTTGGTTTGGTTCAGCTAGGGTTTAGACGAGTCCACCTGCTATGGTGAAAATGGAAGATGCTAAATTTTGCTCGATGGAGGTAAATTTTGCTCAATTTTACATATTTTTTATTGTGAATTTAATACATATGTGGTTGCCCTGCTTGGCTTTGGGGTTTTGATTTGGTGTTTGCTTGGATTTGGGAATTACCATTGATGAATAGCATTCAAGCAAGATGCATAACTCATGTGCACAATTTTTTTTTTCTTATTCCTTTTCTACCATCTCTTATTTAGATTTGTGTAATTGGTTGGCTTCAAGACGGTTTACAAGGCAAGGCTCTATATTCATCTTCAGATTGGTCCATATATTTGTTTAGAATGGAATTTTGGGTATTGATCATTTTCCTCAGCATTTTTTTGTTTCATCAAAGATTTAGTCCGACAATTGCTCGGGTGACAATGTCCATTGGTGAGATTGGTTGGATTAGCCCACTTTTCTGTTGGTATATATTTACTTATGCGGCTTTTTGTATATATTAGACTTCTCATGCTGTAATTTAACAGATTTAATAGTTCTTTCAATGAATAGCTCATCAGTATCCATTTTGAAATCAACATCGTTTACTTTCATATTGATTTACCGTCACCTAACAAGGTTTCTTTGGACCCAAAACCAATCATAATTAACTATTCGCTAATCTATTCAAGAATCAAGGAACCTTGCGTTTATAATTTAATCCTAATTTTTTTTCTCTTTGCTGGACAAAAAACTACCAGGGAAGGAAGAGACTGCCAAGAAAGTAAACCCAGACCGGAGAAGACAAGCAATGGCGGAGGAACCAAGGCTGTAGATCTTTGATAAAAGGTACAAGTCCTTTTCGTTTCTGGTAGTTTGCCCTTGCCTAAAAATGTAAAATTAATATGGTGTTGATGAGCGTGTTTGAAGGTGGAAGAGCTGATCCTATAATTTGATTGCTTTGTCACACTAGAAATCATTTATCAATTTTGTTAAGTAATGTTTATATCTGCACCGTCTTCTAACTTTTTTATAAATGTTTTAACCCTGATCTATTGTTTGATGATCGTTTTGTAGCACTGACAATGTCATCGCTCTTTCCATTCCTTTATTTTTTGGTGAGTGCTCACTTATTAATATTGTTGTTGCTTTTAGTTTTTAAATTTTATGAAAAATGCAACCTTCAAACCCTGTTGAAGTCGATTTGGTATCTCAAGATTCCAAATTATTGTTTGCAGATTAGGATTTGCATATTGCTAAAGGAGAGGAAGACATTGGCTACTGTGCTGGATATGTAGGTGAGTTGATGATTGTCACTACTTACCGTTCGTATTCTTCACCATTTTGTTCCTTAACAAGTGTCTTTCTTCGAAGGGGCTTCATAGATGCTTGGCAGAGTTCTCACATCAAATTTTTGGGGAATGGTGGCTGATATTGACTCAGATGAAGCCCCTATTTATATATCCTAATCATTTTTATGTTCTATCTTTTCTGACTTGGATGATATTGATCAAATGAATGAGTTAGAAACTGAAAGTTACATTTGTTCCATCAATATGTTGATCAAATGGATGAGTTAGAAGCTGAAAATTACATTAGTTTCTTGCTGCTTTTATGTGTAGTGCTTTATTTTCAAGGTTATTTGTCTCAACATCGTGTGAATGTAATGGTTCTTTCCCAATTCAACCAATTTAAAAATTGGGATTTTAACTGATGTTCGTCCATGGTTCCTTACTTTCTAGATATTGAAATATGCATAAATTCACCTAGAAATTATTCATGTTAATGTTCCAAAGGATACAAACATGAAGGTATGGATGAAAAGAGTTGTATCAAAGACAACAAATGGTCAAAGGCCATTCTCCTCATTATTTCATTAGGTATGCATGTTTTTTTCACATGTTAATATATTGTATATACAAGCCTAAATTTATTTTATTGGAGCCACTTTTGGATCCAAAATTCTCATAAAGTATGTCATTGATGAAAGTTATATTCTGGTGTCTTTTAGTGATCTTCATGTTTTTCGTACGAAATAAGATTGTTAGCTTCTACGGTAAGCAGTATTAACTATCAGGGATTTGTTTTCATATTGCATGAAATTTCCACTTTTTTCATCTTTGAATAGTCTCAAGCACGGTAAATATAATAGTACTAGAAAGTGAGGAAATCCACTTTCTTTGGTTAGGTTGGATTCTTTACTATGACTACCATTTTTATCTCTAAACAAATTTTTAATGGTATGTATGATATAAAAGGGTAAATTTAACAATTTTGGTTTCTTTGTTCTCATACTTTGGTGCCTCGAGTTTTAATTTTTCATAGATGTGTCTAAGTTGTTTTCCAGTTACAATTCGGGTGCCATTGGCAACTTCTAGGGGACCAAAATTGTTTCCAGGTCAAAATACAGGAACCAAGTAGAGCCATTTTATGGTATAATGTGTTTATCAGTTCTCATGTACAAGTTTTTCTTTCTGCTTTCAATTAAGTTTTGTTTGTATGTTATGTTTTCATGGAATCTCTTGCACAAATTTCAATTACATTGTACTTGAATGTCCTGAACTCAAGTCAATCAAGATTTTTTTTTTGTTGAAACCACTGAATTTCGTTGTACTTGAATGATATAGATGTGGGGAATACATTTACATAAGGATTAATTTTAACCATTGAATTTTATTTCATTTGTCCTTGGAGCTTGAGTAACAAGATCATCAAATTCTTATATTCGTTATCTGTGAGAATAAATCTACATGCACAACAATATTGTTACACTTCTACTTTTATTGGGTTTTTATACAGTTTGTGTGTTTGCTTAGTCTTGCCTTGGAGTTGGATCCACTTTGTGTAATGGATTGTGATTTGTTTGAAAATATCTTTAGTGATGATTTTGAGTATAATGTGTTTTTCTAATACTATTTTTCTCTCCCTTTGTAATCCAGTCATGCAGAAGACATCTCCATTAACTAGTAACAGATGAAATCGTTTGCTGTCGAGGTTCCCGTGCAGAAGAGTGAAAATGCTGCAAGTGGAGGATATATAACAGCTCAAGACACATGGTATGAGGGTGTAGGTAAACTGTACATACGCATCTGGAAAAAGTTAAAAGTTAAGGCGCGTTGGCTATAGCTTCTTCTCGCCACAACAGGAAATACTTTTGAACTGCATTAAGCTGTTAATAAATTAAGGTTAAGCTATATTTTACTTATCAAGAATGGGTAAACTATTTTAAATAGGAAAATTAAGTGCTTATATCAGATAAACTATCAATTTTACAAAGTTTTCTGGTAAATTAGATATATAGTTTAATTTTAGAACTTTTGTCCAATAGGGATTTGAAATAGGGATTGAGACTCTCACATATGAGTAAGATGTCCCAATTTTTCATTGATTCTTAGGTGCTATGTCTTTTTAATTGCTTTGTGTGAAAACTATTTATGCCTGTTGCGACTAATACATTCAAGTCCCCGCAGCAACGCGCGAACATATTTTCTCGTCTATTCTAAAATTGAGGAAGGATTTGACTGTAGCTTAGCTACAGTCAAAATTTTCCCCCTTGATTTTGTCATATTTACATCACAGCCACCAAATCTGTGTCTGGGTTGGAGAGTAATTATTAAAAGTTAAGAGGGTAATTATGTTCGTAGGTTTGAGTCAAATTTCACTTTATTTATAAAAGTTTTTTTTTAATTTTTTTTTAACTTTTCTGGGTTTTTCTTTTTAGTGATATTTTTTTTTATGAGAATGCAGGTTTTGGATTTAGCATTTGATTTTCTTTAATGGGATTTTGAATTTATTGTGTGGAAATTGGGTTTCATCTGAATCTGAAAAATCTGAATGTTTAGGGTTTTTGTTTGCTGATTATTGTTTGTTTTATCTGTATTTTTTTAGTTATATTTAATTTATGTTTATATTGGGAGGTATCTTTAAGGTTTAATACAATAGATGAGTGGGTAAGGTTTCTCAACTTTTAAATTGTTTTGTTATCAACGTGCAGCACCCATGCTCACAAAGTCCTAAACTAATCTTATTAAATTAAGGAGTTGGCAGACCACTTACAAAATGATGGACTCAATGAATAAAAAAAAAACCTGGTCCATTTTCCACTGTCCTAACCCGTCTCCCCTTACCATTTTCTGCCGTCCATTAGGTCCTGTAGCAGAATTAAATTTTTGTTTTGAAGTGTATGCCATTTCAGATAATTTGGGATTGATTTTGAGCACGTTGTTAAGATTATTAATCACACTTTTTCATGGTAATTTAGATGAAAAAAATGATGAATTTGGGGGCATGGGGGAGTGGGAATGCAGAGATAGAATTATGGGTTGAGTGGTGATGCTGAATATGGGGTTATGGGAGAGTGGGAATTAAAGAGATAGAGTGAGGAAGGAATGGGGTTGGTTGGGAATTGCAGAGAGAGTGAGGGAGGGATGAGGTAGGTTTTGAAAGATTTGCTCCACCTAGGATTGTTCCTGTAAGATTTCGACAGCGTTGTCTCTCTAAAATTTGTACCCTTTTCTGGCGTCTGTAAGGTTTAGATTTCATCAGATGGCGTTTGTAATGTTTATACTGAACTGTCGACTCTTTTATTCTTTGTAGGTGAAATTGAAGGTCAGTAGATCTCTTAAATTGATGAGGGGGCTACAATTCGTACAAGGAAACTAGCCAGAGATATGCTACTATTTTGGAACAGAATAAATAAAGAGATGGTCTCCTTCTCTTCTCCTCTGGAAATGCATTGAGTACAAGAAGTGACACACTCCGTCACGAAAGAGGGCGTGCTGGCCGTCACGTGAGAGTGACATAACCATTTACACAGTTCGGAAGCTTTTAAAATACAATTACTAAAATGGAAACCCCAGAGGGTGAGTCCTACTTTTGTGAATTCTGTCAGAACGCCGTTGGGTTCCTCGTGGCCACCAAAGCTCTGCTAACTTGAACCTGGAGGGGCGCAAAACAAAATTGAGTGGGTCAGCAAAACAAAGCTTTTCGAAAATCTTTCATTTAAAACATTTCTAACCCCTCGCTGTAAAACCTGTATACTTTCCCAGAAAATAGCATATATATAAACATATATATAAGCAAATATCTCAAATCACTATCCTTTAACACTTTTCAGAAAAATATGACATGCCAAGTGTCCAAAAAACATAATATAGATGCATCAATATAAATCAGGTGAAAATAAATCAACCGGAGACCCTGAAGTGGTCCTGTACGGCTGATTCTAAAGCTCAACATCCAATCCAACCGGAGTCACCTCGGTGACCTGTAAGGTCCAACTCTGCACGTCACTCGGAACTACATATAGTAGTCTGTACGATGACAGGTGTATAAATACGCTCTAGTGCTTCTCTCATCAATCATCAGCGCGCATAACTAAGGTCACCCACTAGTCGGAATCACATCTAGTGATCTGTACGACTAGCATGTCGGAACCCTCACATGGTCTATACGACATCCACCTACTTGGATCCAAGATGAGCGTGCGGTGTGGTGAATAACAATATAAGCACTATCACCTAGGTGCAGGTCATGAGCTTTCAATGCAATCCCTGATAAATAACTCAGCTAAAAATAAATAAACTCACCTGAGCGTCCACCGCTTCGTTTCATATATATATATATATATATATATATATATATATATATCAATTATCAAACTAAATATCTCAACAGTTTCATGCATGGCAAATAGATTCATAATTTTCACATAAACGGATTTTCTGGGAAAAACAGTTGTATATAGGTAAAATACGAAATCAAAACTGCCCACTCACCTGGAGTTCGCCCTACAACTCCCTAGCACAATACGCCAAGGTGTCATGACGATCGGCGCCTAAAACAATAATCAAATCCAACCTCAGAATTCATATCGATAGAATATATAACTTATATAAAATACGTCACTACGAAGTTCGATCCGGAAGATCTGCCACTCAGATTTTAAATCCATAACTTCCAGAGGTCCACAATCTATCTCTAGGACAACATCCTAAAATTTCATTACCATCCAACGGTCGGATCTCCGTCAATTAACAAAACCAAGTGACGGTTAACATTCTATATTATGGACTTACAACTCCAATTCCGGAAGATCCGCAAATCGGATTCCCAATCCGTAAAGTCCTATAATCCTCAAATATTACGTATTACAACGCATCAAAGTTTGGTTACGATCCAACGGTCAGATCGTCAATTCACATTTTCACCTAAATGCAAAAACTATAAAACGTTATTTAAAGCACCTAACCAACAATTCTTAATAACTTCTCATACGGTGCTCAAATTGGGTATATGAATATACCACATTGATCTACTCGACGTCACGGACGTCGACAAATTTTTAAAATAATTTGTTACTTTGGCACGCGCCCCCACGCGCCAAGGAAGGCACGGGTCCACGAGCGCCCACGCGCACCTTCTTCCTCGCGAGTTCGCCGGACTGGTTTTTCCGGTGGCCGGAAAACTGGGGAATTTTCAAATGCTTCGTTCTCCTTCGTTTCTTAACCATTTTCTTCGTATAATATATCAATTTGAAGCCCTCAACATGTAGAATCACAATATACTACTTTTAAGCTTCAAAAACAACTAAATCTCACCGGAAAAATCCAAGCAAAACCGGCCAAACTTAACCCTTGTGATCCCGACATCCAAATCCTTCCAACGAAGCACTCCGAGCTTCCTTGGGACCTCACTAAGCTCACTATAAGCTTAGAATTCCCTGAAACACAACATATTACGAGTGCATGAACAGTGACCAAAAATGGAGATTCGGGTTTCACGTGATTTCGAGGGTTTCACTTCCTAAAACTAGTACCATTCAACTCAGAACGTCAAAAGGATGAAGAACCATACCTTAATAGCTTCGATCCGTGACGTTTGTAAGGTTTGTGAGTGTGGTCCGTACGTTTGAGGGCTAGAGAGAGAGAGTCGAGATGGAGGAGAGAGAGGGAGAAAGAGGCACGGGGAAAGGAGAGAAGGAGAGAGGTCCTGCGTGGCCCAACCAAAACCAATCCTCACCATCCATTTAATCCCTAATCACAATATTTACAAACCAATAAATTTAATCCAACTTATAAAATTAATCCAAATAACGTCACCCACTACCTTAATACCCACTAAGGGTAAATCCGTCATTTCACATTCCCGTCAAATGTATCTCCGGGACGGGCTGTGACAAGAAGTATATGCATGAAAATATCAAAATGCATGTCTAATGACGTGTAGTAGACCTCAAATTCATATCTTGAAATATTCATGTCTAAAGTTCTGTATATGTTCTGTTTTGGGTTTTTTCCTATTTTAGGCCAAATAAAAAAATTATTATGAAGTCTGGATGGTCATTTAGAATTTTGGTGATATTGAGGGTTGATGAAGTAGGTGATGGGGGGGGGGACGGAGAAGGTGAAGGTACTGATGGAGAAGGTTATGAAATTGGTGAATTTAAGCCTGAAGGCACTATCAAATGTTTTCAAAAAGTCTAAAGGCATTATTATTTTGCTAATTTGCAGCACTGATATATAATAATTTTTATTAGAAGCAATATGTCGAACTACTGTTGCTTCGTCAGAATTAGCAGTTGAAACAATCGAGTTTATTTAATTATGATTTTCCTTATTAATTTGACCATGAAAATTGTCAATTATTTTCTAAATATTAGATGCTTTAATTCCTAAGTTGAGCAGTTTGTGTTACCCCTATTAGTCATTTTCATGCTCATTATTTAATTGTGGACATTACACTAAATGTGTTCAATCGGTTTCATAATTTCTGATAAGTTCATGCCCATTGAGTGCATCAACTTATTATATATATATATATATATATATGTGACTGCTTGAATCAGGATTTATCGAATGATCGAATGAAGGCAGCAGCAAGGGAATTTGAGCCTTGGCCTGTAGAGATACGATTTTGCAAGGAAGCTAGGTATCTTTCTAAACTTATTGGATGTGAAGATTTGAATGATCAAATTTGTGATTAATGTAATGGGATTTTATTAAATTTTTCATGATTTTATAGAATTTTTGGTTTAACTTTGTGGGTTTTTTTTCATTTAAATTGTGGGTTTTGGAGAATTCTTAGTCAAATTTATGGGTTCTTTTGATGCGAATTTACATGAGATTATTCAACTGCAATGTCAAATAAGTGGGCATGTTCATATGTTTTTCAATGTTGTTATATACTCTCCTGTCAGCTCTGAATGTTGAATTACTTAACTATTAATGTCAGATTAATCAAAGTTGGGCATCAGTTCATATGTTTTTCAATGTTTTATAAAAACGATGCAATTTTCACTTGGTATTGAGTATGTGGTTTTTTAAGTAGAATAGTGGAAGATTCATTTGTAAAAAATCCTCAATGATCATTTGAATATAATTTTGAATACTACACTGCCGTTCTGCTTAAAGCGCTCTAATACATGCATACTCTTGAATGAATATGTAAAGACTACTTAAGAAACTAACAGTATACAAAATCTGAATGATTTTATTTGTTTCTTTCTTTTTCTGGGTTTGTTTGCTATGGTTATTACGAGTTTCTGGTTTTCTTCATCTTTTAGGCAGTTGCTTCTTTAGGGACTTATGACATAACATTAGAGATGGGAAAGAAGGTGATATGTATTTTCATTCTCCGTTCAATTTTGATGGTGGTCCTTATCTTAGTTGTGTTTATTTTCTATGTTGTATATATCTATGTACATATGCGTATGTGTGTGTGTAGGTCGATCATCTAACAAAAAACATGCTAAACTACATAGAAAATGAAAATTATAAGTATTAATGTGTAAAGGTATTGCCTTTCTATTATTTTGTAGTACACTACTTTTATTGTGCTAGGCACCATTCTCTATCACTCAGAAATAATTTGCACACTACAATTTACAACGTTTTATGTGTAATTTTCCAAAATCATGGGACTATTGATGGTTGCTCTCTAAGCTGCCAAATTAGGTGTAAAAAAATCTGAGATGTGAATTTGTTTCTTGGTGTACTCGATGACATTACTAGGTGTAGGTTCATAGTGTATTGAAGTTGGATGATTTCTTAACTGCAGGAAGCATTGCGGTGTACCATGTGAGATGATTAGAGGGTGCAATACCAAGTGAAGAAATACACCTTGAGAAGGTAGACTTTCCTTCATTTAGATTTTTGACTTCTATGTGGTTCTTGGTTTTAAGAACAAAAGTTACTTTTGTTTTGAAATTGCAATTTGAGTTGGTGTCTCTGTCTATGTGTTCTGTGAATTTGTTTTGAGAACAAAAGTTACATTGGTTTTGAAATGGCATGCTTGATTCATTCAAAAGTAGGAAAAAATGGGATTTTTAGTTGGTTTATATAATCTTTTTTACGAAGTCTTAAAATGGCATGCTTGATTCATTCAAAAGTAGGAAGAATTGGGATTTTTGCAGTGAATTTGTCCTGTTTTGGTTCAATGGTTTGGGCAATATGGAGAGCAATTTGGGAATTTGTTACCAAAACATTGATGGATAACATGTATATTATTATTATTTTTTTACGTAAATGTTGAATGTCTAATGCTTTATCATTTTGGTTTTTAACATGCCATTGTTTATCTATATCCAAAATGAGTCTGAATCTTTTCAAATAAATGTTACTTTCTGATTTTCGAAACTGTAATTCACTTTTTATTGATATTTTCCTATATATTTGATTTACAGAGCTCTTGGGTTGTCAATTGTGACTGGAAATTCTACTCCTCACATGGATCATAGGTAAAAAACATTTATGCAAACTTCAGAGCATATAGGAAAGCAAATGTTTTTTATTTTAGGTACAAAGAGCCAAATATGTTATCTATGTCTTTAATGAAATGGTTTAGTGTTATTGCTTTTAATTGTTTAGTTTTAACTGATGTTTGGATGCTTATATATTCTTCGTTTTGTCTTTTTGAACAAGAACGGATAATCATATTGGAATAGATTATATTTTTTTAGTTCATTTTGCTTATCAGTTTATCTTCTTAGAACCAAATGCAAATTCCAATCTTTGCATTGTTAAGCTCTGAAATTACAACAAAAAAACTTGCATGAAATTGAAGTTTTCTCTGATTGAGAACTCATTTTTCTTCAATTTGAAGTTTTCTCGGATTAATTTCTGAATAATTTAGAAATGGTTGTTAAATTGTGGGTTACGATTTCAAAACCTGCGGCGGAGCGCGGGCATTTTTTCTTTTATTTACTAAAATGGTGAGGAAATCATTCCATTATATTATCTATATTTTGTTATAATACTTTCATTTGCATACAATTGATTCCAACCCAAATAGAATATTAGTTTGACTTAGAAATGATTGTAATGATTCAACACACAAATACCTAATTATCCTACCTGTCATATTTTTTGGAAAACTTTTTTTGGGCAGAAATATACAATACCAAGGTTGGTGATATTTCTTCTTCATTGTGAACAATCAGGTAAATTCAACACTCAAAACATTACAGTCTTCACTTATGTATCAAAAGTCGATATGATGCTGATTACTTTCTTTCCAAAATCAGGTTTGAGTGGCACTTTGAATGCAACAAAACTGAAATAAGGATCTTCAGTTGTTCTTTTTGGACTTGGTTCCATTGGCATTGCTGTAAGTGTGGACAAACTTTGTTGATCCGAAATAATTTATTATTTATACTTATACATGGTTTTGCCCAGGCTGCTAAAGATGTAAGTAATTTAATGGGAAAAATTAGAAATAGATTTATGCTTACAACATTATTTCTCTAGATTTAATAGAAATTTGGAGTGAAAGTTGCCGTTTATATCAACATAGTTAGTCAACTTTTATATACAACCTTATAATTTATTAATTTGATCTGTAAAATCAACAGGTTATTGATGAGATGACCAATGACAAAGTTGACAAGAGGATAGCAAATCCCAAAGTTGTGTACATGCAATCCTCTAAATCAGGTTTAGTTGTGCCTCAAATATGCAATCTTCTAAGAGTTAATATCACTGATAAATTGTGTTGTATATTATTATATAATAATGCATTTTTATTTATGAGTTACCTAAAAAATTCAGTTTGGAAATGAGAATTTGGAGTTGTTTTCTATGTCGGTTATGGAATTGACAAATTTCGGCTTAGTATTGGCTAAGAAAGAATTAGACTGTTACTTATTGAGTTAGGAGGATTGCGGTGTCGAAAATTAAGAAGGGTTAGTGCTATTGTAATGGCATTTGCATTGTTTTGAACCTAAAAAATATTTGGCCCTTTTCTGTATTGAGATCCGATGACGTGAGAGTATCGAAAAGGATCCATTTATTAAAGTAACAATGCAATGGTGGTGGGAATAAGCGTTCTCAGGTACCTATGGATGTGATATGAATTAGGGGGATGATGTTGAAGCATCAGTAAAAAAAACCAAATAGGATCTCAGATATTTTACATTAATCCATACATTAGTGCTTGAATGATTAGCTTCTAAAACAAGAACAACACACTTTTTTTTTCTTTTTTGTTTAGCTGTTAAAACACGTGCCTGGCCTGCAAGACATATTTTGCCATCTTAACTTGAAGGGCAATATAAGTGTTAATTGCATGTTGCTTCTATTTCTCAAGAAATAGAGCATTTTTTTGCAACTGTATCTTTTGTAATCAGCTCGGTTGAATCTATATAAAAGTCGAATTGCTCATCTTACCGACACCTTTCACTTATCTATCCCTTTTGTTTGTTCATGATTATGTTGATTTTTATTTTTTTTTTTCAGGTTAAATGTCTTATTCATGTGGTTAAGGCTGGTGCATTCAAGTCCCACAGCAACGCGCGGGCATTTTTGCTAGTCTATTCTAAAATTGAGGAATGATTTGACTCTACAGTCAAAACTTTGCTACTCGATTTCACGCTATTTACCACAATGCCACAGCCAAATGGGGCTGGTTGGAGGGTAATTATCAAAAGGTCGGAGGGTAAGTTTGTCTCTGAACATATTTCGATATATTTACGGTTTTACCAGTATAATTCTAAAATGGGCCCTCGATTTTGCATTATTTACATTTCTGTCACTGTGTGTGTGGAGGGTTTTCAGGGAGAGGGGCGTGGGATGGCAGGGAGGGGAAGGGAGAGAGAGGAGTGAGGCCGCCAAAAAGTGGGGTTAGGGTTGATTTTTTCTCCTCAAATCAAGGTTGGTGTCAGTGATTGAGAGATTGAGAGGGGTGGGAGAGAGAGACAGAAACACAACTGACCTTCATTTTCCCCTTTCTGGCAGCCAGAACCCGAAAACTAAGCCCATCTCTGTAATAGCATCGACTCTTGCTTTCCAAAACCACACAAACCTGCCCTCCATTTCTATAACTCGAGAGCTTCGTCTATATTTGTTTTCAAAATTATAGGCTTCGATCATCTCCCCAACAAACCCAGAGCCTCCTTTTCTCCCGTTAAGCAAAAGAAAATCAAGGAGGCCTGCAACTTCGTTTGCAGTCCACCACTGCAAATCGGTCTGGAAACTGGAAAGTCCAGAGGTAAAACACACCGATCTATTTGATTTTGGTCTCTGCTGCGCATTTTGACAGACAAATGATAAACCTAACACATGCATGGTCTGATTTCCTTGGTAGGTTTCTTGAAATATTTGCATCTCATTGGCGCAATATTTTTCAGTTTGTGGATGTGCAAAGTCTGGTTGGTACACATCATTGGGCCAAACCTTTCCCAGGTAAGGAATTCCTTCGCGTTTGTTGAAATTATTTGCTTCCTCCCCTCTGATGTATGTGTATGTATGATATGTGTATGTGTGATTTTAGATTGTGATGTATCACAATTTCGTGGCATGAAAATTGACATTTTTAGACTTACCCTGTGGTGAGATTTTTGCATGATTTTTTTTTTGGGGTTTGTGGGGTTTTTTAGAGATTTTTCTGTGAAAGCATTGTTATATGATTTTTTTTATTGTGGGTTTTGATTGTTTGGTTATAATTTTGGGTATCTGTTTTGGTTTTTTGAATCGGTTTTTGTGTAAGTCAAAGTTTTGTGTGGATGATCGTTGGTTCTGAACGAACCGAGTGACATATATGGCTTTGCTTCCCATCTACTGAAAAGGTTACCCTTCTTCTCTCTACAAATTCCCTTCTAACTTTCCACACTTTTACAAAACCAAAAACCAACTTTATAAATTTTGATCAGATTTTTCTTCAGATTGTAGAGAGAGAAAGGGTCATATAATTTTGCTATATTCAAAGAGAGAGGATTTGAGGTGGGTGGAGTGAATGAGTGTTTAGGATTTTTGATGGGAGGGATGAGAAAAGAGTAAAAACGATCAGGAAAATCGATTTTTTTCTCTGATAGTTCATCAACACTTTGTAAGAACTCCAATTCTTTCTCTCATATTTCATCCGTTTCTGTTAATTTTTGTAAATTTTCAGATTATGGGTCATTCCCAATTTCCATTTTTTCTTTGGGGTTTATGTCGTTTTGATGGAAAAATGTCGTATTAGCAAATAGATGATACTTCAAAATTACGATCGTCTGATTCACTTATTTTTGTTCATCTCTAATTTTCTGGATTTTTCCATGTACGTTACAGAATTTACTGACATTTGATAAATGTTAAACGAAGTCCTTCAATGAATCTCTCAAGGTGCTTGAAGCTGATATTCAGTTCGCCAACACTATGTAAGAACTCCAATTCTTTCTCTACTTACACAATTCCAAAGCACTGTGTAATAAACAGTGGAATTTTTATTCAGATTGTAGTAATTGCCGTGTAATTTTTTCCCAATATGTTTATACACTTACAGTACTCCAATATCTCTCTCTCTCTCTCTCTCTCTCTCTCTCTCTCTCATTTCTTTTCGGTTTTGGAAATCTCTGACTTTCGGTGGTTTTGTTTTCTTGCAGATGTCCATGAATTTTGTGGACTTCCTGTGTAATCCTTGCCTCAGAAAACAATCTCGACGCTGTTGTTGGTGGAGGAACGCCATCATTCGAGCCCTGGAGCACGCTACTGCTGGTAATTTTACTTTTCTGATTTTATATGAATTTGTTGTTTGTTTGATGAGAAAACATGGAAAACTAGAGAAATTTTTTGAATTTAAGGTTGCTATAACACAAATTTTCACTATGATTTGTGATGGATTTTGGGTATCTTTCCTTTCTTATGCTTTTTATACTGCCTGCATCAACCCTTTTTTGTTTTTTGTCTTATCTTCCAACTTATGCCCTCAATGATATTAGATGAGGAATTTTTAAATTTATTGCTAATATTTTGAACTTTATGTTGTACTAATGCCATAAGGCATTTTGATTTTTGACATTTTGTTACGTTGGTTGGAGAGTTGGAGACTTGCTCTCTTTGCATTTTGCTATGCTGGTTGGAGACTTGCGAACTATTGATTTTGAATGCTATTGCCCTCGGTATTCTTTACAATTATTGATTTTGAGTGCTATTGCTTCCTTTATTCTTTAGAATCGAGTATTGGAATTTTGAATGAGACAGGATCGGATGTATGACTTTGTGCTTTCCTAAATGGGTTTAGTTTTGCACAGCTTGAAATGTTGACATTGTTTTTGTTCATGTAACTTTGGTTCATTGTTCGTTGTGGGATGAGATTGGGATCTATTTCTTTGTTTCAGTTTTTGCATATCAAATTTTCAAGAGTTATTTGATAAGAATCAGGCCTGTTTAGAGTCAGGTTTTATAACTCAAACCATTTCCAATAGCTATTTGGTAATAGGACAAGTAATTAAAGAGTGAGTTCATATATATGAAATCCTGTTTAAGCTTACTTTTTCCCTTATGAATATTTCTTCATCTGATAGGCTGATGCTTGGGCTATTGAGAATTTTGCCTCGGTAACAAAATGCCCGCCTGGCCAAATTATAGGACAGGTGTGCAGTTCTTATTTATATAATTTTTTCTCCTTTCTCTCTTTTTGATACTTTTCATGTGTATTCACTTCGGAAAAATACTTTAGTCTTAATGATATTAATGTTGCATGATCTATTTTCTTCTGGAGCCATAAAATCTGCAAGAGGTTTCCAAGTATACAAGGAGGTTGCTGGCCTTTCAAGGCTTAACTTCGCTTACACAGATAACACTGCAGTATACCATACAAAGGTTTTTTTATTCCCTTTTTCCCCCCTTTTTGGGATATTAGTTACAAAATCTGTTTGGAGCATAAGTGTGAAATTAACGGGAGGGGTTAGTAAGTTAATTAGTTAATATGATTATCAATGTATATGAGTTAGAGAACTCATTGCGATTTGCAGAGATTGCCTAAAGACAAAAAGAAAACAATGTTTGTTTTGAGTACTTCTCATGTCATTGAGGAACAAATGTTGTACCTGCATTAATTAATTTTCTTTATATCGAAATTGAATAAATCTAATTTTCCTCAATATCCAAATGTATTAAAGTAATTGTGATTGAAGTTTGTTTATGTCTGCTTTCCAATATTCATTTTTTGGTTACCAGATATCTCACTCAGTTTACAAGTGCTTTTTAGTTAACTAAAAAAAGGCTTTTTATTATTTGGCTTACATGAGTTCTATTACCGTTTACAAGTCAACCCCACAATACCAAAGTACAAGAGAAACAAAGATTGGAGGTAATTTTTGCTCTAACTTCTTTAGAAGTTAACTGACAATAGTTTCTAAGATATGTATTGTGCATTTGGCCAGTGTTAACTACCGAATCGATTAAAAAACATTCTGTAGGGGCTGCCCCGCCATTCAGTTACTCTTAGGCACTTGAGGAGGGTGTGATCATATGCCTCACTTCGGGTACGAGCTCTCACTATGTTTATTTGTTCTCAAAAGATTTGTAATTGATGATGGAGCAATGTCATTGCAGTACTAATCCCTAAATGTATTTCGTTAATGTAAAGTTGATAGAATACAAAATCAAAATGAAACATTTATTTTACCATGTGTATTCAGCTGTTTTGATTGGTTCCTGAATTATATAGAGATCGGTGTGTTCAATTGTGGTTTGCATAAATTTCTGAAGTAAAATATTCATTAAATGTTTTGTGAAATAGGCATTTTTCAATTGGGTAGTTGTGCTGCTGGTTTTTTGATGATGTGCCTAAAGTTTATTTTGGATTGAATTTCAACTTCTACATAGATTTATGATTCGTAAACTCTCTTGGCAGTTTGGAAATGATAATTTGTTCACAAGCTTATTTGTGCTGTAATTAAGTGTGTTAGCGTTATTTTACTTTTTGTTCAGATGTTAAGAAAAAATTCCTCAACTTTACAAGGAATGGGGAAAGATGAATATACTAATACACTTCGTTTTCTCTTCAATATCAGTGATGAATATACTTTGTTTGCATCTTTCTTGATAATATTTTCCGACTTTCCCTTTAAAATATTTGAAAGCGCAGCTGATTTTGCGTTTGTATTTATTTTGTTAGGAATTGATATTAGTAGGTGTTAAATGGCCGTTGGAATTGGGTTTTGAGTCTCTAAGGGACATAATGAGATGTGTTATTGATAAAAGGGTTAGGAGAAGGTGGACAAGAAACCAGTACATTGGATGCACAATATCAGTGATGAACACTTTTCCTTTTCTTTGTTTAGAAAAAACAAGCACGAATGCCCGCGCTTTGCTGCGGGTTTTAAGAACACCGTTCAAGACAATACTACTAATATATAAATAAGTTTTGAATAAATCAATATTTACATGTCTGCTGTTTGAGAAGATAAATGAGCAACACAGTACAATGATCAAAAAATTAAATGTTGATTATTAGAAATAGTTCAATAGACTATGAACATGTTACAGAATCTTGATTTTCCTACTTCACTGTTTCCGGCTCATTTTCATCTTCATTATGTGGAGGTTTTCAGTTTCAGCTAGTTCCTACAAACTTTGAAAAAAAAAAAAAAAACCAAATGAACGTGGCATGGCAGAAAAATTGAGGTGGAAAATAAATTTAAAAAAAAAGTAATTAGAAAAAAAAGAGAGAGATTGATGCTATCCAATGTACTTAATTTATCTTAAGTATTAAGACAGTTGTATATACTTCTTGACCAAATGAGATAACATCAAATTCGAATGAACTAATAGAGGCATTAATCATAACTTAGGCATTCATAGTTATCATTCTAAAGTTGATGACATACTGTAAAGTAACAGTTTATTTCCATTGGATAATTTGATTTCCCAAATTCAAAAAAAAAAAAAAAGAATACTAAAATTATTACACATCATCACAACATCCCGTCTGTCAAGAATCAAATCCAAAAGTAGAATTGGGTAAACAAATGAGAGATTAGAAACATAGAATATATTGAGCGAACTTAATTCAAAATCTCCAATTTACCTGAAACATAGAATTACAAACCTCAAAGTATTCATTGCTGAACTCTTCTTTTTTCAGCAATTCTTTCAAAGTGATGCCAAATCCTCAGATATGAATCCAGTTCTTCTCTTCGTCTTTCTCTAATTGAAATTGAGTTATCTAGTGAAGTGGTGTTAAAGTTTACGTAAGTGTCAAAAATGAACTTCTTTGCAAGAGAATACAATAATTTATGATAAAAATCTTTAAGTACCAATCAGCTCTTAAAAATCTAAATACGTATTTCAAACAGAGCATGTCCATTTAGCTCTTAAAAACTGGAAGAAAAGATTTAGGTTTCTTTCTTACCCAAATCCACCAATTTGAATCAAATCTCTGTAGCCCTTCCAACCAAACGCAAATTAATACAACTCTACAATCAATAAACAAAAGCAAGTTAATACAACACTGCAATCAATAAACAAAACCCAAACTTTTAAGAATTAAAATCATCAAAAATTCAACAAAGAAAGAGAATCCAGAAACCAAACCTATCAATCAATTCCTAAAATCAACAGTAAAGAAAAAATTTCAATAAATAGGCATCTAACTCCACAAATAAACAAAACCCATATCAAATAATTCAAAAAAATTAATAACAACACTAGAATTACCTTCCAAGAGATGGAGACTCCGAGTAGGCTTCCAATAATGATTTGACCGATAAGAAAATAGTTGTAGGTCATGGGATATCACTTTGGGATTTTCATGGTTTACCTTTTCTTTCAAAATGGGTTAATACTTGATCATCCAATCCTCCAACCTTCTGTTTCTCAATCTTCTGCAGGAGGATTGAAATCAGAACCATTAAGTTTTAGAAAAAACAAAATCAAGGAAAAAAATGGTGTCTCCTACTTCAAACAATGAAAATGCAAATATTTGATACCAATTATCCTTGGGACGTAAAAGAAGGCAAGCGTGGACTGCTTACTCAAGCTCAATTGAAGTTGATCAGGTCAGAGACATAAACAGAAGCCAAGGAGGAGATATAAAGGTCAAAGCCGAATTTGTGGATCAGGCGAGTTCGAGAGCCACAAACAAAAACCTAAAAAAAAAAAAAAACCCCGGGTGAGCAAGTTCGAGAGCGATAGATTCAGATTTTTTTTTTTGTTTTGAATATATATACAACTAATTTACCATTCAATCATATTAGTGGAAAACAATTAAATTGTAAAATTAAACCCTCCCGTTTCCTCAAAAATCTAAATTAATCACAATAGTCAAATTCCAAACAAAAGAATAACAATAATAATTTGATAATTGTTTGGTGAGATTATACAGAGAAAATCTTGCCTCGAAACCTGGTGGAGCTTCAAGCTGCTTCTACGACGATGTCGTTTTTGCCAAGAACAGGTTCCCGAAATAGGGCTGAAAACGAAGATTGCAGCAAGAGCTACACTGCGATAAGGGGACGAAATTCTGGAAGCAAATGAAAGAGCCCTGCTTTTCCAACCTTCTTCCCTGCTTTCTCAGCTTTTTCCATCCCTGGATCCCTAGAAAATCACCAGATTATAAATTTCTTTGGCAAAATCTAAAGCAGGATAAATTGCTTACTTTCCGTAAAGAGGGTTATGGAAAATGCGCGGATCGCTAAATCATGAAATCATCCAAAAACCCTATATCGTAGAAAATTGAAAATTGCAGGTAAGCAAAAGCTCAAGAATTTTACACAGAAGAACTAACTTTCAAATAATTAAATATATAATTACGGGAGAAACGATACCTGTGTATGGAGGTGCTTCAATGGAGGGGAGAGAGAGAGTGTGTGTGTGTGGAAGAGAGAGAAGCTCCGAAATCGGGAGGAAGAGAGAGAGAGAGAGAGAGAGAGAGAGAGAGAGTGGAAGAGAGAGAAGCTCCGAAATCGGGAGGAAGAAGCCGCAAGTAGGTTTTTGGTTTTTAGTTGCTTCGGCGAAGGAAGAGGTGGAAGATAAGTCGAGCTGGGTTCGTCTGCGAGAGAAAGATTTGACGGAAGTGAGTCGGTGAGAGCAATGCGAGAAAGAAGCAAGTCGAAACATCAAGAAGGAAGAACCACGCGTCACCATTTTGTTCCCACAGCGTAGCAAACCGGCAAAGGTGGAATAACAAAAAAGAAACAGCGGCAAAAACGGAATCACACTGTATTATGAACAGTGTTTCAGTTCGTTTTCTCTTTTAGTATATATATAATTTGAAAGAGCCACTGGTTTTGAACGTGCTTAAATGCAAAGATTATTTGCAAAAATTTGTTTAAATTTTTTAATGTTTAGATTTTTATTCCATAAAAATTGTGAGAGGAAATATATAATGATAGACAAAAAACTATGTTAAACAAGTTTGGATGGTTTAAATTATAGAATTATTTTGGTTGATGGTAGAGACGGTTTCAAATCCCGCGGCAGAGCGCGGGCATTCCTGCAAGTTTAACCAATATATCAGCAATTGAAATTTTCAAGTATGGGAAAGCTTTAAAAAAGAACAAAGGTCTCTGAAATAAACAGGGACAAAATAAACTTCAATGGAAGTAAACCCGGTATAATAACGCTAAATCTCATCAAAAGTATTTGTAGCTTTTACAAAAACTTTATGGAATGAAAGCAGCAATTTTTTGAAATGGGAAAAGAACCATGGCAGTTAGACATGCTACTTCCTTCCTTTTGCTTTCAATATCCTCTGGACCTTCTGCAATTTGTATTTGTAATATCTTTCCTTATAGCCTCCCACAACGAATCGGACCTGTAGGAGTGTTGAGCAAGCATGTAAGACTCAATTTTTTCCCGACACCCATACACTCATCCCTATGCTCTTCCCACCCCTCTTTCACTCTCAATCTCCCATCCCCAAATTTAAAAATCCAAACAAATAAATAACAAAATTTTAGACAAGAGAAGTTTACCAGAGGAAGGATGCCGAGCGGGAGAACACGACCTGGAGAACAAGGGAGATCGCTAGGATAGAAGTTTTCTGGTTTTGCAAGAAGGCATGTTGAAAGTTTTTTGGTTCTGCAAGAGGCGTGCTGAAAGTGTGAGGAAGGCAGGAGAAAGGAGGGCAATGTTGGCAAATTGAAAATTTCATTAAAGATTTTATTGTTCATCTGTGTTTTTCAATAAGCTGGCTTTTTGAAGCTTCTTTTTGCAACTTTAGGTTTTGGGCTTATTTTCATCCAAAACTTTGAAATAAAGCTGATTTTGAGTGTTTACCAAACACCAAAAACTCTCCCAATTTTTTTTGATACCCACTTTTTTTAAATCACCTCAGTACCAAACCAGGGCTAAATAAGGTGGTTTCTAGTTGAGATTTGGACGAGAAAGTGGTGATTGTGAGAGGTGGTTCTCAGTGAGTTAGAGAGAGTTGCAGAGTTAAAGAGGGTTTTTTTTTTTGGAAATTAGAAATTCATATCCGGCAAAGATGCCAAACAGGAACAAGAAAGCCAACCAAAGTGGTTAACAAACAAACAGCACTACAACATAAAGGAGAATAAGAAGGTACAAGGAAACCATGACGCCGCACCAAATGCTAAAGCATCCCTTCTCAAACTAACAAAAAGCAACTACGGAGGGCAAGGAAGGCCATCATTACATAAAACATGGACCAGGGAAGATGGGGGTCTATTGACCCAAACTTGATCACATACTTCCTTACAATTGTGCGACGCCAAACAGTCCGCGACCAAGTTGGCCAGTCTTGGAACCCAAGACCAGCGGCAAGCTTGAAAAGCCCTTCCCAATCTAAAGCACTTCCTGAGAATTGGAAAAGCATCCCAATTGCCCTTCTTTGCCGGATCCCTCAAACAAGAGATTGCATCGAAAGAGTCTGATTCAACACATATCGAATTCCATCCGTTGCTCACCCCCAGATTACACCCATGCATAATGGCCAATGCTTCCACCATAGTAGCACCAGTAGCCATAATCTTGTGCCTAGAAGTAGCCAAAAATCGACCATGCTCATCCCTCGCCACTACCCCCGTGAAACCCACCCCCGTCTTTGCCTCCCAGCTGGCATCCACGTTAATTTTGATAACACCTTGATTCGGAGGAGACCACTGAGCTCCATCACCCAAACTCGATTGGTTGAGCAAAGAGAGGGAACTCTGCCTAAAGATTGTCTCCTGGTAAGCCGAGACCGATCGGGAGACAGCAGCAACCACCCTGCTGGGGTAGATAACCTGATTGTTGAACTGAAATTCACATCTAGATTTCCAAATATGCCAGCATGTAAAAGCAATATATGAAATCATATTAATCCTCACCTCCGCTGACCCATTCTCAGCCTCACCCATTTGCATGAGCCAACTAGCCCAGCTCGAAACATGCTGCCGGTTAGGTCTCAGATTCAGCATTCCTCCAAGCCAAACCACCTCCACCTATGGACAAAAAAGAAAGAGATGTTCTATGGACTCATCAAGGGAGTTACACAGAGGGCATATGGGAGAAGGGGAAGATCTTCGAATATATAAATTCTTCATTGTAGCTAAAGCCACATGCAGGGTCTGCCACATGAAAGTTCAAATTTTTGGAAGAACCTTCAACTTCCATACAGTCTTCCATAAGGTAGAAGGAATGGAGGCCAACTTGATAGATTGTTGGCTGCGATCAATAGATCGATTGAGGCTCCAATAATAACCTGATTCGACAGAATAAGACCCCCTTTTTTCATGAGGCCAAACCAATCTGTCCTTAAGCGTCGGATCACCAGTGTGCAAATCCAATATTGCCTCAACTTCAGAATCCGCCAAGAAAGGTTTTAAAAAATCCAAGTCCCATTCCCCGCTCACAGGACAAATAAGAGACTTCACCTTTAGATTTTTCGAAACTTGAATTGACCCCAATGGGGACGGTCTCCCTAAAGGAATGGGGGGGAGCCATCTATCCACCCAAACCCTCGTGTCATTTCCGTCCATGATCTGCCAATGAGCACCTTCCCCAAGAATCTCTCTTCCAGCTAGGAGGCTAGCCCAAACCCAAGAAGCTCTCCCACCCTTCTTAGCATCGAGGAAAGAGCAATTAGGAAAATAACGGGCCTTAAGAACAAGAGCCCATAAGGTGTTAGGTTCAAAAATCAATCTCCAACACTGTTTGGCCAACAGAGCGTCATTGAAACACGAAAAGCTCCTTAGGCCGAGACCCCCTTCCTCCTTAGACTGGCCCAATCTCTCCCTGGAAATCCAATGGATCCGATTTTCACCAAGTTTTTAACCCCACCAGAATTTAGTTATCAAGGCATCCATTTCATTACAAAAAGAAACAGGAAATTTGAACAAATTCATAGGATAAGCCGGAATGGCTTGTGCCACCGCCTTAATCAGGATCTCCCGGGCGGCTTGTGAGAGAGTGGATTTTTTCCAACCTTGCAGCTTATCCAAAAGCCTACCTTTAACATAGGCCAACCCGGTTTTTTAGATCTTCCCCATATAGCAAGAACCCTGAGATACATCCCCGGATCACCCACCCTCTCAAAACCGAGAATATTAGATAGATGTCGAGAGATCTCCTCAGGGACATTAGAACCAAAACACACACTAGATTTAGACTTATTCACCTGCTGGCCAGAAGCCGCGCAAAAATTATCAATCAGCTGAATTAGATTCCTACGGTTCACTTCCTCAGCCTTAATAAAGATCAGAGTATCATCAGCAAATAGAATATGGGAAATACTTGGACCCGACGGGTTCATCTGCACCCCCTTTATCCACTTCCTCTCACAAGCCTGTTGGATAAGAAGAGAAAGAACTTCACTAACCAGAAGGAACAGGTAAGGGGATAGAGGATCGCCTTGCCGAAGCCCGCGAGAAGGAGCAAACTTTGATCCCGGTTGACCATTTAGCAAGATGGAGAAATTCACCGACGATACACAGCCCAAAATCAACTTTCGCCATCTTTCATCGAACCCCATCTTCTCCATTACTGCCATTAAAAAGTCCCACTCCACCCTATCATAGGCCTTTTGCATATCCAACTTTATTCCCAATTCAAATTGGCTCCTAGCTTTTCTAGCCTTTAGGAAATGAAAAAGCTCATGAGCAATTCCAATATTGTCTTGAATTTGCCTCTCCGCCACAAAAGCATTTTGGGAAGGAGAAATCAAATCCGGGATAACCACTTTGAGACGATTTGCCAAAACCTTGGAAAGCACCTTGTAAGAATAGTTGCAGAGGCTAATGGGACGAAATTGCTCCACAGATTCCGGTTTAAGAACCTTCGGAATCAGAACCAAGTGTGTAGCGTTGATTCCCCCTGGGATGTCCGTTCCATTCATCATATCCCCAATTAAGTCATTCACCTCCGTAACAACGGTGTCCCAATTAGTTTGGTAAAAGATTCCCGGAAAGCCGTCTGGGCCCGGAGCTTTTAAACTGCCCATCTGCATGGCAGCAACTCTGACCTCGTCACTCGAGACCTCTGCCAATAAAGACTCATTCATTTCATCTGAAATTTTTAGGGAAACACAGTCTAATAAACTACCCCACGAGAGAGACTATGGAAGAAATGAGTGAGAAAGAGAGCCGGAGTGGTTAAGTCTCACTTAACAATTTCCAAATTGAAATGACCATTTTACCTTCAACCAATTTAATTCGTAACTCAACTCTCCTAACTCTAATTTAACAAAATTTATCGTTTGACAAAAAAAAAATGTATGATTCCTCTTTCGCCCATGCACTCGTTAATACGAAAACTAATTTAATAAAATAAAAAAATATGAGAAATTGAAATTTAACTCAAAGCTACATATTTATTCAAGACACGTAACAAAGGGCATTTTGGTTATTTCACATCTTTCATAAACAAAATACATTATTTTAAAATACGAGTTGTGACAAGTTTCATTTTGGACATTTCACATCATTTTGGTCATTGCAAAGTTCTGGTTGAGAGATCAAAAAACTAAGAAGGGGATGCATTGGATTGCCTGGAACAAAATGGCACATGGAATCGTTAATGTAAAGTTTGGATGGTTTTATCTTTTAATTTGGCTATGCTAAGATTGGATGGAGAATCATATCGGACACGGAATCGCTTCTTGCTAAAATTATCAAGGCTAAATATTTTCTCCAAACCTCGTTCATGGAGGCACCGACGGGACGTAGTACATCATGCGGTTGGAAGGGGATTTTACAAGGGAGAAAGGTATTAAAGGCACATCTCCGTTGGGGCATGGGGGGATGGAAAAACTATTCGAGTTTGCATGATCCATGGTTGCCTACTCCCCGGACATTAGACCTTCATCACGCCATGAGGAACTTCCGGAGATGGTGGTGGATTTAATTCTCAACGGCGTGGAGTATGGAATAGTCAATAGTGAGGTTGTTGGTAGATGTTTTGGAAGTGAAGATGCTCATATTATTTTGGGTATACGTCTTAGTAAGTTTGGTTATCCGGATAAATCGATTTGCCACTATACAAAGAATGGGGTGTATTCGGTTTCAAGTCTGGATATTGGGTTGCACAACAACTCAGTCGGAATGGTGATCTTGGAAGGAAGGGCGTTGGGGAAGCAAGTATTGGGCAACAGAAAGACAAACTACGGACATCTATTTGGCGTTTGGAGGTACGCAAAAACTTAAAGCATTTCATCTGGCGGTGTTGCAAAAATATTGTAGCGGTTCTGTTATTTTGCATTGTCGGCGGATTCGGCTGGATACTGTTTGTCCTCATTGTGGTGATGCTGAGGAAACGGAAGAATCAATATGCAAGGGTCTTTTGGTTTGGGAGTCCCATACAATTGGATTCTTCTCTGATACCCGGTGACAATTTCACTGAAAAATGGAAATGGTTAGTCAACAAATACCAAGAAGAGCAAGATCAGGACAAATTAATGCGATGGGTAGTTTGTGGATTATGGAGGCTACGAAAGTGTAGGAATAGCTTAGCCTTTGAAAACAAAATTGTGGGCCTATTGATGCTGTTAGGATGCTTCAACAACAATGGAAGGAGTTGGAAGATATACCGAGAATTGATGGTTCACGGACGGTTGGAGTGCGGCGGTGTGAAAGGGTGGAAGTGGAATTGCCGTCTACTTGGGTTGTCCTCCTTTTCGCAAGATTAAGATTAATTGGGATGGCGCTTGGATAAAAGAAACGGGACGGGGAGGATTCGGTTGGGTGGTAAGGGATTGTGCGGGGATTTTTAGAGCGGCTGGGGTTGTAGGAAATGTTGCATGTGTCTAGTCTGATGGCGGAAGCAGAGGCATTACGTGCAATCTTACTTGGTTATGTGGAGAGAGGCTTTGATGTTATCCAGGTGTAAACAGATTCAAAGGTTCTTGTGGATATTCTCCAAGGTAAAAATCAATCGTATGCTGTTATTGAAGGTCTTCTTTATGATATAAATGTTTGCAAATGCAATTGAGGTCAGTAGAGTTTATTTTTGCTCCCCCCAAGTTGTAATAGGGAAGCACATCTACTGGCTTTGTTTGTATCTTGTATCGGGGGCTCCCATAGCTGGGATTCTCTCGAGCCAAAGTTTCTGTTTAACACTTTAGCATCGGATGTTAACGTTTCTATTTGAATTTCATAATATCTACCTTTCGACAAAAAAAAAAAAAAAAAAAAAAAAGAAGTACGAATTCTAACATCTAAATTCTTTTATGAAAATTCTGAGCTAATTCCAATTCTGAATAATCCAAATTTTTTTAATCTAGTATTATGATGCATTGTCTCTCTATGACAAGCAAATATGATGTCTCTTTTTTTTTCTTTTTTTTGGTTAAAACCAAAATATACACATAATGTCAGCTTGGCATTTCCTAGGGTTTGGGGACATTGTGTCTTGTGGTGTGACACACCCCGATCGGAGTCGAGGCATGCTGGCCGTCACCCGAAAGTGAAGTAAACAAAAAGAAAAGTGATGCATAAGAAAGGTATGGATAAATTTAAAACCAAAGCTAACATTTATTTAATCTAAAGTAGAGAGTGTGTAGTAGTGGGAAGAACCCATAAAACACAACTATTCAGAGCATAGATGACAGTACGACAAAAGTAGTGCAGTCAGAACTAATTAAAGTACTTAATACACAAAGTCCCCTACATTTATTTATGGATATGTCAGAACCGCCAGAGATTCCTCGTATGCCATTCAGCTATCTAAGTCCTGGAGGGGCGAAAAACAAAAGGGTGAGTGGGCAAAAACAAAGGTTTAATAACACATTTATTTTCTAAACATACTAACCCCTCGCTGTAAAATATGTATAGTTTCCAGAAAATCATACTATGTATAAGTATGATATCAAATGCAAATCAACAATAAATCCATAAATACACCAAATCACAATATCTCAACAGTAGAATAATAAAATGAGGTGCTCATCAATCTCTGCTAACACATGAGCTCATGTAGATAAGTTATGCCATGAACATGACTGGGTGTAATCATAATATACGCTTTAATACTACAATCACGTGAAGACTGGAGCTAGGCGCATCACATACGAGTTGGAGTTGCCTATTGCAACCTGTACGACAGGACTGGCACCTACAATGGATCCAAGGTGAGCATGCGGTGCGATCTGAACATACACATGAAGCCTGGGCGAGTACTACACCGGTGCAAGCTGAAGGATGATTTTGTTAAAACATGTTCATTTGAATAACATCTATAGCATGCAATTAACAATTAAAGGCGGAATCATGCTTGCATGCATTCAAAAACAAAACATTAATCATGAAATTCAAAGCCTAGTAGATTGGTGAACCCAGACTCAACTCAAATCAAAGTGAGTTGAGAAATATATACCTTTGTAGATTCCTCTTTGCATAAGCAAAGGCTAATCACCCAAAGAGAGGGCCTTCATTCCTTGCATCTAAAATCTATGGATTTGGATGGAAGAATATGGTTCTCCAAGTTCCCAAAATTGAGAACCTCTAAGTATCCACACCAAGGTAAGATTGATGAAGAAATGAGTGACCTTGGAGTAGTGGGATTGCTAGATACACCCTCCAAGGGGGCCGCCCTCTTTAGAGAGAAAAGAGAGCATTGTGTTCTCTCCAATTTCCTAAAAGAAAACCCTTAATGAATTTAGGCTATAAAGTCCTTTATATAGTCACTTCAAATAAGTGACCTAAAGAACCAAAAAGGCCATTCTCTCTAACATGGCCGGCCATAAGGGTTTTATTGGGCTTTTGGGCCTTTATGAATTAAGTTGTCATACAACTTAAGTCAATGGGCTTGATGTTCGAAGCCCATTGGGCCTTGAGGCCCAAAACTAACCCGTGGTCTTTTAACGAACTTTATTCGTTTGATTAATTAACATATTAATTAATCCTTGCCATAAATAATTAAACCATTTAATTATTCTTACTCATCTCCATTTTTTCTTCAATCTCCACCTTACACGGTGTACGATCCATTAGGTTCCTTTTAACGAGGCAGTGGGCGATTAAAACCATTTCACATCGATTGTGAATTGAAACTTACTTTCAATTCTCCCTTTAGTGATTACACACGTTTAGGGCTTCCACAAACCATGAGTGACACCTAGCAGCATATCATGGTTACCCAAGCTAATCAGAAGAGGTAGAGAACCTATTCAGTTTAGGATTACAAATGCAATACGGTCTTTCTCTAATACAATACTCTTGATCACATTGTTTGGTTTGATAGTTTATTTATTCATGTCTACTATCCAATGTGATTCGTGTGCTTATATGATTACCTTGAATGTGATTTGGAACGACTTCCTAAATCTCATTCATACTCTGGCCAGAGGTTCTAAATCATATCATAAAGTATTCTCCCTCAAACGGTTTGAAGGTTAGAGATCCCTTGTTGCGCATTCACTTGCCTCCATAGCTAAGTGGCTTAACCCCAACGATGCCGTGGACACCCTCCTAATGGAGTGACTTTGACATAATCAAAGATCAAGTACTTAACCACAAGACAAACGTGATGCCTCAGGTCAAATGACTACTTTGCATTATCCCAACCATGAGTTCTCATGTGACATGAATATGAGAACTCTTCGTTGATCGTGTTCAGTGAACTCATTCTCTATTGAGCACCTACGTACTTGTCTTGATGTCACACACACCAATGACTCGAGACTAGTTACTCTCCCTGAGAGAAGACACAGGACATACTGATCTTAACGGACTGTCAATGCCCAATTGGCAATCCTATGATCAGGAACGTTTAGGATGTGTCTACGAAAGAATGGTCTCATGAATCTAACTTCTTTAGATCACATTCTCCCAATCACATATTCCTTGGACTTATTGTTTAAGCATATAACATTTATATGAGACGGCTCAAACAATAATGTTTGCCCTTTATATTTAAACTAGATTAGTTTAACATGTGAAATGTCCGTAAAGTATCATCATATGATTGGCTTTAGGGCACATTTCCAACACAAGCATGCATGATGAGCAAGTACAATGTATGTGAACAAGCTATGACAATATAAAAAAATCTCAATAATAATATGGC